ATAATATTCATCATAGTAATAATAATATGTTCTCTAATTGTAATCTTATAACAACAGTGCTTTTCCCTCATAATATTGATACATATGAATTATTAGTACTAATCAAAATTAATAAAATTAATAAGTTACAGCAATTAACCCTAATATTAAAATTAATTTCTCTTGTAGTTTTCGAAGTTCTAACTCCTGTTTCTCTTGTTTAACTATCAATAAAACAGATCTTTAAAAATCCCATACCTCAAAATATTAAGTGTCTTCCTTTTCTTTTGAAGCCACTATAATTTGATTATCAGGAAACCATCTTAGATCTTAAGAGAATTTTCAGGTGAGTATACACAATACAAGTATACAAGATACTATTGGAACATCTGTGATATAAAACAAAAGATACCAACTAAATTTTAGGGCTCTTTTGAATTGCCAGCAACTAAAATACAGTTCAAATATTCTGAAATCTTTCCTAAGTTTTACTTTCTTGTTGTGGGTAGGCAGTTAACTGTAAAAAGTAGGTTGAGATATGAGATTTCTTTTCTGCTCCCAAATTTCTGCAGATTACCAAGGACACCTGTACAAGCTGAGTGTCAACGTAGTCTTTAAAAGTGTTTTCTGGTGAACTATTTCCTCCTTCAAATAGATCTGTCCTCCCTAAGAAAAAGAACAAAAAAAAAACCTTCATTGGAAGCCTTCTGTAAGCCATTTTAAATAAACAACAAATATCCATTAAAAAAAAAACCTTCCAAAACCAGTTAAAATGATTGACACTATCCAGCAAAATTTAATCTGCACTAAATTCAAAGCCGCTCATCGGAATACATTACTAACGATTGCTCATTGTTTATCTAGAGTGGTCACAATAGCTGCCTTATTTCTTTTAAGTGGTGTACACAAGTTTTGTTTCTGTTTGGTTTCTGACCCACTTTTAATCTCCTGCCTCAAACATTATGGTATGCTTATATTTGTACTCTACCATTAAAGTAACCTCCATTGAGGATGATTCTCAAAGAATGCTCTTTCTGCGCCAACTCAGAAAGCTCAAACTGTCCAAGGAGCTGATGATCCAGTTCTACAGAGGAATGATTGAGTCTGTCATCTGCACCTCTATAACTGGTTTGGTTCTGCAACCCAACAGGACGGACACAGACTTTAGAAAGTAATTAGGACTGCAGAAAAAACAATTACTACCAACCTGCCTTCCATCGAGGACCTGTATACTGTATGAGTCAAAAAGAGGGCTGTGAAAATATCTGCAGACCCCCTCACACCCTGGACATAAATTATTTCAACTCCTTTCCTCAAAATGACGCTATAGAGCACTGCACACCGGAACAACTAGGCACAAGGACAGTTTTTCCCCAAACACCATCACTCTGCTAAACAAATAATTCCCTCAACACTTTCCAACTATTCACAAAGTCTGCACTACTATTACTATTAATCTTCTCATCACTCCTTATCACCCATCCCCTCCCACTTGTGACTGTATGACTGTAACTTTGTCGCTTGTACCCTTATGATTTATATTGACTGTTTCCTAATATGATTTGATTGCTTATTGTACCCTATGACTATCATTAAGTGTTGTACCTTATGTTTCTTAACTCTCGATGAATGTATCTTTTCTTTTATATATACAGAGAGCATTTGCACCAAGACAAATTCATTGTGTGTCCAATCGCACTTGGCTAATAAAATAATTCTATTCTATTCCATTTGGTGGCTGATCTTGAAAAAAGCTGTGCAGAGTCTGGTCTGGGAAAGCACCAAGAACTCACAAGTTTAAAGATTGGACTATAGAAAAACTACAGATTTTATCACCCCCCTGTTCACATGAGGCAATGACAGATAATTCACGTTCTCATGGCAAGAAAATGATACAACAATCTAGATTGTTGTCTTTGAAAATCAACAGCATTGAACTTAACCTGAAGAACTCTTTGCCTTGATTTCTTCTTTATAAAATCTAGAAATGAAACAAAATGGATGCAGCAGCAAAATAACAGGTTTTAAATTCCATGTAAGATTAACTTGGTGTATTAAAGAAGAGTACCTGGAATACAAGATGGTAGGAGTTAGATCAAATGGTGTTACGCATGTTTTCGAACTTTTAAGCCAGACATGTGTGTGTGTGTGTGTGTGTGTGTGTGTGTGTGTGTATGGTATTCAGCTTTGTTTGGGTATTTTCCCACGTCATTATTGTTGTGCTTTTAAAGTTGTAGCGACATTTCGGCAGAATCTCATCTGCCATCAGGCTTCTGTATTGTGTTCGTCTGTGAGTCAGACGTTCACAGCCGTTTTAGTTTTAAATTTGGAGCTAGCCTACTGCTGTGCCAGAATGGTTTTTTCTTCATCCCGATTGGTTGGGAGTCTTGGTCTGTGTTTATTGGTCTTGGAGTTTGCTGTGTTCTGCTTGATTGGTATTTCTAATATCTTCTGTCTGTTTTGTGGCTTTTTTTGTCTTGATTGGCTGGCAACATCGTGTTCCTGTATTGGAGGCTTTTAGTGCAGCTTGGCTCCGATTAAATGGACAGCTATCATTTATTAGGATGCTAGGTTTCATCTGGGTGCCTGGTTGGGGTGGCACAAAGCTTGCACTGGCCTGAAGCCGAAAGCACCAGGCTGAGGATGGCGAGTGGGACCTTGCCGAAACGTCACCAAGATACTCTTAATCTTACACGGGAAAAGACCCAAACACACCTAGACCTACATACCTGTACCTGTGAAAATCTATGAAAACAAATCTACAAAACAAAAAATCTACGAAAATGCATCCTAAAAAGAACAGAATTGGCCCCTAATTAGAAATGAACTTCACACAAAAAGATTCCTCCTAGACCAAATCAACAAAGATCTCCTCACACTTCACCTGAGACTCAGCAACAAGATTCACCCCGCACTTTGGGACAAATCCAAACAATTTGCTGTCTGGAGAGCCGAAACACAGACCACCCTCAAGACAGACACACACACCAACAAACTCAGAAAACTACAACAACGCCAGAAACAAACTCCTCCCCCCTCACAGCCACACATGAAACAAACAGTGCACAACATCTCAGACAAGATCCTCACCAAAGCCGAAACCAATGTCCTTTCGAAAGGATTCAATTTTGCTGTCGTTCCCAAACACATCCCCACAGAAACCATTATATGCGAAGCTGAAACCAACCTGACCAAAACCAACCCTGGTGATGCTAACAGAATCAGATTTGAAATCACCAACTTCCTCTGCACTAGCAAACCACCCAAAAGCAACTTATCCAAAGAAGACAAGGGCAATGTGACAGTAGTTATGAACACATCTGACTACCAAACCAAGTTAACCAACCTACTCCAAGACCCCACATACAAACCCCTAAACACAGACCCCACTACCTACCTAGAAAAAACCACCAGATCCAAAATAAAAGCCTCCCCCATCAGCGAAGAAATCCAGCAAAGAATCATACCCAGAGAGAAATCATCCAGATGCCCTAAGCTTTATGGTCTCCCCAAGATACACAAAGAAGGAACCCCACTTAGACCAATAGTCAGCTCCATAGGCTCACCTCTACAAAACCTAGCCAAATTTCTCACCAAACAACTACAGCCCTATGCAGAATCCATCAACTCATACGTAAGAAACTCATTCCAGTTCATTGAGATCATAAAGAAACAAAACTTACAGCCCAGCGACCTACTAGTGAGCTTCGATGTCATATCCCTCTTCACCCAAGTGCCTATAAAAGAAGCCTTGACAGCTATCCAAAACAAATACAACCCCCCCCCCAAGCACATCCTAGATCTGACCAACCACTGCCTATCCAATACATACTTCACCTACAACGGACAAAAATACAAACAAATAGAAGGAGCACCCATGGGATCACCCCTCTCACCTGTCATCGCAAACCTCTACATGGAACACTTTGAAACACAAGCTCTAGAAAAATATGATCACAAACCCAAACTCTGGCTCAGATACGTAAATGACACCTTCATAATCTGGCCACATGGGAAAGAAAAACTGAACAACTTCCTCACACACCTCAACAGCCTATACCCCAAAATACAATTCACCATGGAAACAGAAGCTAACAATCAACTTCCCTTCCTAGATGTCTTAGTATACAAAAAATCCAATGGCTCCCTAGGACACACCATCTACCAGAAGAAAACACATACAAACAGCTATCTACACGCACTCTCACACCACCACCCAGCAACGATCAATTCTGTAGCCGAGACACTCCTCTCCAGAACAAAATGCTTAGCCGACGAACAACACCTAAAAACCGAACTACACACTCTCACTAACATACTAGCAGCCAATGGATTCCAAAGAAAGAAGATTACCCACCTAATCCAAAAAGAAACCCCAACCAAAATCCAAGACAGAGAACAAGAGAACGGCAAAGCCCTCCTCCCATATATAAAAGGCACTACAGACAAAATCAGCAAGATCCTCCAAAAATACAACATTAAAACAGCATTCTGCACAAACAGAAAAATATCCACCATCCTAAGAAACCCTAAAGACAAAATCGAGTTAGAAAACCAAGGAGTATACGAAATCCCTTGCACTGCCTGCCCCACCACATACATCGGACAAACTAACAGAAGAATAAGTGCACGCATTGAAGAATACAAGAACTCAATCAAAAAAGAAGAACCGACCTCTTCCCTGGTCCAACACCTCAAAGCCACAGGACATGAAATTGACTTTAAAAATACCAGAACTATCGGACTTCCGGTTTGAAGGGCTTCGGCAACAGACAGAAATCCGCGATCGTGCGTGGTTTCTGTCTGGACTCGCCGCTGGAGCGTCCCAAGCCGGCTGGTTTCGGGGCTAGCCACCCCGTAGAGGTGGTGAAGAGGGGGGAGACTGCCAGCAGGGTTGAGGAGAGCCGCATCTCTCCTCCTCAGCTGGCCATTACTCCCTTTCCCAAAGGCGGTTGAAGCGGTGGTCAGAAATGGCCACCACAAAGGAGAACTCGACCGGAAAAGAATGTGCAGGAGGAAGATAAGAAGTGAAAGTTTTGGCTGACTGGGTTAAATTGCAAAAGCAACAACCAAGGTACCCTGAAATTTAAACTTACAAAAAATAACATTGCTCCCAAAGAAGAGTTGGAAGCAGCGAAGGAAAGTGAAAAGGGAAAGGTTTAGCTTTTTTCTTCTTCTCTCTCCTTCCCTATACTGACAACTAAGAGACTTAAATAAGAAATCGGAAAAATCTGTTTTGACATCAATAAGCAATTAAGCCAAAAATAAAACAAAATGCCAAAGGGATAATAAAAATTTCTGGACATTAAAATTTTTCTTTTTCATAAGCAGGAAGGGAGAGAAAAAGAATAAGGGCAGGATCTGGAAGAGGGAGGAGACTGCCTGGAATTAAAAAGAATCTACAGTAAAACTTCAACAAGACTTCTAAAAGATACATTTTAACTGAAACTTTGCAACTAAATAGTAACCCCAGGAAGAGAAAGTGAAAAGAAAAGAGCAAAAAAGAAACAGCTTGTGTGTATTTGGATTATTTGGTGATCTTTGGATTCTTGGTTATTATATTTGAATGACTAAAATCAATTGGGTGGTTGTTTAAAAATTTATACAATGGCACCACTTCTGGATGAATTGAAAATGGAACTTAAAAAGTACAAAGAAGATGCACAAGAAGGGAAGGGTTCTTTTGGCTTCGTTTTTCAATTCTTAGAAATGGAGATTTGGAACTATGAGAAACAACAAGAAACGACTGCAAAACAAGAAGACTGGGACAAAGAAGAAGCCATCTTTAATGAACAAGCAATTTTATGTGAAGAAAAAGGAAAGGGGGGA